GCTGTGCCAAGCTGTCAGTCAGGCCGCGAAGCAGCTGCCGTCCTGCCGGCGTTTAACGGACGTCGCGGGGAGCTTTCCATAACCCTTCAGATGATTTAATGCCTCAGCGTCTCAGGATGGTAATTACATTTGACAGGACAGGCCGAGTCGCGCAGATCTGTCATGTAGCCGGAGATCGGTCTGGGACGCCGGCCAGGGCTCCGGCTACCGCGCCCTGCGCCTCCCCCCGGCCCCGCGCTGCTTTGGCCTGGCAGCCGGGGCTCGGCCTTCGGGGCCAGCTCTGCTGCAAGCTCGGCGGGGACGATGTAGGGATGCATCTTCTCGCCGGCGTGGCTGGGACGCGTCCAGGCCAGGAAGCGAGGAGATGCCCCCCACCCCACGTCCCACCACGCCCGGGGTGGGCGGGTGGCCAGCTGGTCAGGCCTGCAGGGCACAGGCCAGCCACCCCCAGGCACGCGCCAAGCTGCTCTGCGCTAGGGGCTGCACGGCGCTCGCCTCTGTGCCTGTGGTCTCGGCACGTCCTGGGCGCGAGGGACAGCGGGACCTCCGGAGAGCCTGCCTGCAGCTGGGGGCTCCTGCACGGGACATGGCTGCACCGTGTGCGGACGGGGCTGCGGTGCTGCTGCTCAGCCGGGGGGAGCGGCAGCCAGCAGCGTTGGCTCTGCTTAGGCTCTGGGGCAGCAGGAGCCAGGCTGGAAGGTGTCGCTGGGCCCAGGAGAAGCTCTCGTAACGTCGAGGCCCAGCTCAGCCTTGTGGCCGCAGCACTGAGCTGAGATTCGAGGTCTGGGCTCAGTTCTCCGGCCCGTGGGGAGGCCGCGTTGTCTGGGCCTCATCCCGATCAGTAACTGTGTGTGGGGCGGGGGCAGGGGGGTCACCTTCCACGCTGATGGGGGCACAGGGACAGGTGCTAGGGGCTGGGCAGAGCTGGGGTTGGCGGTGCCTGGGCTGATGGGCCTGAGCTGGGCCGTGCCTGGGCAGTGGTGCGGGCTGGACAGGGTAGTCCTGTGCCACGGAGGGGCTGGGGGTCACGGTGCCCAGCAGCAGTGGCTTGGGGCAGGGGCACTGCCTGGCGCACTGGTCGCTGCGTTGTGCTTCTTGGTGCCTTGTAATGAAGTGTAAATATGCAGTTGGGATTTAGGTCTCTGCTTCTGGGGAGCGTTGGAAGCCGTGCTGTCGTTCGTGCGGGATTTGAGCGGTGTGCGCGCGTGCCGACAAGGGGTGCAGCGGCCGTGTCACGCCTGTGGCTCCTGTGTGGCTGCCGGGCTGGGGCTGGGGCTGGGGGCAGGCCCCTGATAGTGCGGGAGGGGCGGGGGTGGCTCTGCCTGCATATGGGCCTTGCCTGCTGCGGGGAGGCTGTGCTGGGAGCAGCTGGGGAGCGGGAGGCGAGCGGGTGATTCCCCCCGGCTGCTTGGGGGTGGGCGCTGCGGGAACACGCCGTGCTGGAGCAGGGGAAGCCGGCTGCGTGGCGCTCCCCCACCCGCCCTCGCCGGCAGGGCGCGGATCTGCTCTGCCTTGTCTGCTGAGCAGCCCGGGGTGAGGATTCCCCCTGGCCAGGTGCAAGGACCCTTCCCTTGGCCAGGAGCTGGGTCACCCTCAGCGCTGCCACTGCCTGCCTGCCCTGGCACTCGGTGCCTTCCCCACCCCCCAGCTCTCCACACTGGGTGCGGCACAGGACTTGCCCGGTTCAGACGTGCAGCGCCTGAATGTGGCCCAGTGCTTGACCAGGGCTCCCTGCCGGGGAGGGGCACATGGGTGAGCTCGGTTGCGACTGGGATGCGAGAGTGGGTCTGGAGTTAGGCCAGCGGGATAGATAGGACTTGCCGCCTGGGCTGGAGGCTGCAGTGCCGACGTGGCCCTGGGACCCTGAAACCCAGAGGGGTGGGTGGCCCAGCGACCAGCTTGGGCCCAGGATGGATGCCCGGCTGTGAGCACCTGGTGTTGCACCATAGGGGCTGGGGAGGGTCCTGGGGGCCATCCAGGAAGGGCCAGCCCTAATGGGGCCTGAGCTGTGGGCTCCCCTGGTTTGCTGTGTGCAGCGAGCCCAGATGCCGGCACATGGCCTCACGCCCCATCGGAGGTGAGAGGTGTTCGTGCCCAGGCTTCACCCGCCATCTGCGCTTGACCAGTCTCAGACCACTCACCCCCACTGCCACCCTCCCACAGGAAGTGCCCTGTGGTGGAAGGTCCGGGGGGCCCCTGCAGCCAGCAGCACCCCTGAGCCATTTGGAGTGACGGCGCCAAACCTCCCGGTGCTGGGGGCTGCACTGGCTGGCTCCAGGAGCTGGGCTCCCTGCTCTGCTGGGGCCGGGCACTGGCTGTGGGGGACAGCAACCCACCTCGTGCACTCAACCTGGGCTCCCTCTCTCTCCTAGTGGCCCTTCAGATGCCGGAAGGTCTCCTCATGTTTGCCTGCACCATCGCCGACATCATTGAGAGGTAAGGGGTGGGCAGGCGGGTGGCCTCTGCCCTGCCCTGCGCCCTCGGGCTGGCATTGCTGAGCCTGGGGCTGATGCTGGCTCTAGCCCTGACCTGGGGCCGCATGGGCACAGAGATTGCTCCTGGCCCTGGGCGGTCAGCTGCCACCCTGGCCCAGGGGATTAGCGGGGCTGCTCACCCAGAGAGCTTATTAGCGGCCGTGCATCTCCAGCCGCGTGAGTGGAGGACTCAGCCAGGGATGGGCACGAGGGCTGCCCAATCTCAGCTGCTTGTGCCAGCCTGGGGCACGTGGCTCCCGGCTGTGTTCGCCACGTGCGGGAGGACAGGGCAAGTGTATGGGGCTGGCAGTGCTGTTGCGGGCACTGCCTTCAGCTGGCAAATGGGTGAGCCTGGGGTAGGAACAGGAGGAGCTGGGGAAGTCCATGAGCTGGGGTTTGTGCTCAAGGCGTGGGAGCACTGCGGGGACAAGGGCAGACTGGCCTAGTGGTGGCTCCTGGAGCAGCTCCCCCCCCTCGGTGCCCTGGTCACTGCTCCCCCGGCTGTGTGGGAGAGCCCGGGAGGGGGCCGGTCTCGGTGGTGGGCTCATCTGGGACTGGGTTCTGTGCTGGGGCCCTCAGGCCAGGCTCCCCCTGCACCCCGGGTCTGGGGTGGGGAGGGGAGCGCTGGGCCTCTGCTCTGCTGGCAGAGAAGCCCTTTGCCCTGGTGCCCCTGCCGTGGCCCATCCTGCAGTGCCAGGCAGCTGCTGGCCTGGGGCGTGGCTGGTTGCGCGGCGGTGCCGGGGGCTGCGCCTGAGCTTGCACGTTCCCGGCCGTGTGCGCACGGCTGGCGCTGCTGTCTCCCTGCAGAGCCTCGGGGCATCGCTGACTTTTGCAGTGCTGCACACAGCCGGTGCGGGAGGCTGCCCGGCAGCGCTCAGCCGTGCGTGGGGCCAGCTGCCTCCTTGCCGGCGCCTCGCAGGGGAGCCGGCTCCTTCAGGAGTGGCCTTGTCCCCGCTGGGGGAGGTGTCAGGGCTGGAGGTTGGTCCTGGGAATCTGCTGGGGCCAGAGGCTGCGTGGCAAGCCACAGACCGTGGGAGCCCGCAGGCAAGGCAGGGCCCTGCTGCCTGTCCTCGGCAGGGGATGGGTGTGGGCAGCTGTGCTCTGCTAGGCTGGCTCTTGTGGCCTGCCTCTTCCCTCCGGCGGCACGTCCATCAGTGGGAGCAGCCAGCGCTGCTGTGGGGCCGGGCTTGGGAATCGCTGACCCATGCACAGCCCAGGCTCTGGGGGAGGCCAAGCCCGTCCGGGGCCGTGGCGAGAGTGCCTGTGGTGGAGTCCAGGGTCAGCACGTGCTGCCGCGGCGCATGCAGCTGTAATGCTGTCTCCGGGGCAGCTGCCGCTCAGTCGAGCCAGGAGCCCTGGAGCGCTTTCCCATGTTCGCCCTGCCCTGCAGCAGGGTGGGAGCAGGCCCAAGGGCAGGTGCAGCAGGCCCCTGGCAGGATCTGCACTCATCTCTTTACCGCCGCACTCGCTCCTCTCGGCCCTCGGCCCCTCCTGCTTTCACACAGCGAATTAGCACTAATAGTGCTGCGCGCTGTGCGCCATCGGGGTCACAACACCCATTAGCATACTGTCTTCCTGGTGCAAACGGGTTCTGGGGGCACCCGCTGCCCTTCCCAGCTGCCGGGAGCTGAGCAGCTGCTGCGTCAGCACCAGCCGAGAGCCAGGGCCTCTGGGCTCTGTCCCCAGCCCTGCTGCTGCCTTGCCAGGCAGCCTTGGGCAAGGAAGTCCCTTGTCCTGGCAGGCTGCGGGGGGACTGTGGTGTCTCCCACCTGCCACCCCCAGTGCTGAGTCAGGGCAGCAGCAATGAGGAGCTTTGCGGGGGGGTAGAGGGAGCTTCTTGGTCCAGCAGGATAAGGCCCATTCCCCTGTCCTCCCACCCAACCCTGCCCTGGGGCTGGTACCTGCACCGTGGGGGCTTTGGTCCTGGTCAGGCGTCTGTGGGCCTCTGGTTGGGGAGGCCAGCGTGGCAGCTGCTAGGGGGTCCTGGCGTCGGCCTGCTGCCACATGTGGGCATCGGGCATTGGCATTGCCAGGCCGCCTGTGCCTTTAAGAGCTTGCCGTTCCCCTGCTTGGCTGGAGCCTCTTTCATGTCTCAGACTTCAAAGGCAGCAGATTAAGGGGATTCTTTTATCTGAATGGAGCCATGAGTGGCGGTGGCGGCAGTCCTGCCTGCTGCAGAGCTGGCTCCTCCAGCCCCCTCTCCTGGGGCGCTGTGTGTGTGTGCGCACGCCCGCGCCCCGCTGGGGCTGCCCGGCGCCCTGCCCTGGTCGTTGGGGCAGAGGCTGTGGAAGGTAGACAGGGCGATGAGCAGTGGGAACGGGCACCTTTCGGTGGTGGGATGTGGGCACAGACCTGCCCCTGGGTGCAGCCAGCAGCGCCCCCCGGCCTGGCTGCGGCTCCGGTTGCTGAGACTCCTGGGCAGCCAGGGCCCTGTCCTGGAAGCAGGAGCTTGTGAGGGAGAAGAGGACTGGGTGGGTGGTGGGTGCTGGCCCTTCGCTGTGCTGGGGATGGTGTTGGCAATGCTCGTCCCAGCGAGGGGCACTGGTGGGGATGGGGGCAGGGCTGAGCTGCATTGATTTTTCCTGCCTCTTGCTGCTTCCGCACTGGCTGTGAGGCGCTTTGGGCTGGCGCGTGTGCCTGCTGGGCACAAGGAGGGTGGTGGTGTTGGGTAGCACAAGGGCAGGGCAGAGGAGGTGGCTGGCCCTGGCCTTGACTGCACAAGTGCCTGGCGAGCTACACCCATTGCCCGCGCCTGCATGGGTTGGGCGAGCCCTGTGCCTGCTGCGTCCAGCCGTGGAGGGGTGGTTGGCCCTGCCGAGGCGCAGTCTGCTGCCCTCAGGCTCCAGGCTGCCTCTCCCCTCTCCAGGGGCCGGGCAAGGCTGGCCTGCAGCTCCGGGCACCTTGTCCCCGGGCCAGCTCCCCGGCGGGGCAGGGGGGCGTTGGCTGATGGGCATGTGCCTGCTGGGGGCTGCCGTGAGAGGGCAGGATGGGCTGTGGCGCTCGCCCGTTCCTGCTCCTTGCGCCCTGCGGCCCCCTGGGACTGCATTAAATTGCCGCAGGTGAGGGGTTAGATCGACAGGGTCTGTTCCCAGCCTCGTTAGCGCTGACTCTTCTACCATTAATATTTATAGTCGGTGTTCACGTGGTGGCTGCCTTTGATGGTCCTTCCTCCCCCCACCACAACTGCAGGGCTGGGAGGAGCCCGGGCAGCTCGGGACGTGACCGGAATGGTACCTGGCACCACGTGGCACTTGGGTCCCGTGTGGGGCAAGCAGCCCTCGGCCTCCCCTGGCCCCAGGGGAGGTGTCCGGGACCAGCCCGCGGAGCTGCAGCCTCGGCCCCCCTCGAGGCACCTGCCTGCGCGGCCGGGGAGGTGGGGAATCGCCCTCCCCAGCACAGGGTGGGAGGCGTCTGGCTGAGCCGTGGAGTGGGCAGCGGTGAGAGCGGGGCTGGGCCGCTGCCGGAGCTGTGACAAGAGGGAGGTGGGGGCCTGCCCAGGCGCTGCCGGGACCGCGCACGCTTGGCGTCACTGCCCGGCGCGGGGCCAGGCAGGAGGGGGAGGGTTGGGGGTGCCGCTTGCTGGCTGGGCAGCGCTGGGGCTGCCGTGGCCTCGTGCCTGACTTGGCTCCTCCTGTAACCCCGCTTGCACCTGCCTCGTAGTCGGTGATTGTGATTCTGCGCGGCACTGCCGGGATCCCGGGGCCTCTCTGCCCAAGCCGCCTGTGCTCCCCTCCTGCGCTTTAATATTTATCACTCTTCCAGAGACGGCTGCTGCTACGATATTCACCCTGCAGCTTGGCCACGGCAGTGCCGGGAGTAGCGGGGACTCGCCGGGGACCCCCGCCTCCTGCCCGTCTGGCGGGCTGGCACCGCGCGCCGCATCAGCTCCCCACCTAGGCTACAGGGACCTGGGGGAGCTTCTGTCCCCCGGTGCCCTCCTGTTGCTGGCATCTCCCTGCCCTGGGCCGCTGCCTGCTCCACCCCGTGGCTAGGTGGTGAGATGGGGCATGGCTGGGCCCTCCCGTTCGCCCCCTTCCCTGTCCCCTCACTGCCCAGGGCAGCACTCGGTGCCCGCGCCGCAGCCCCGTGGACCTTGTGCCGCAGTGGAGCCGGGTCTGGTGCCTGTCAGGGAGAGGAGCCGTGGGGCCCGGAGCACGTGGGCCCGAGGGTCTGTCGCAGCGCTGCAGCAGGAGCCATCACCAGTGTGATCAAAGGCTTCCCTGATACAGCACCGCACCACGAGAGGTGAAAGCTGATAAGAAGGGCGATGGCAGTGAAAAGTGACCGGGGAGATCCGGAGCGGGCGCGTGCGGGGAGGCAGCATCTAGGTGGGGCCAGGGCCCCGAGTTCCCAGCTGTGGCAGGGCCTGGTGCCACGGGGTCACAGGGCTGGCAGCCCCCAGGCTCCCCCAAACGACCTCAGCGTCGCTGGGTGGGCTCCTGCAGTGCCCCTGCGCTCAGGCAGGGCTCTGGGGCCTTGTCTCCGGGCGCCCAGTGCAGCCCCCCGGGGCCATGAGCTGGGCGAGCGGGAGGTGAAGCAGCCCCATGCTGTTTGATGTGTGCGGCGAGGCTGGGGGAGCAGCCAGTCCCCCACAGGCAGCCTGCGCGGGGAGTGGTGCCCGCCGATGGGAAGGGTCCGGGCTTCACGGGGCCTGCAGGGAGACAGGGGTGCTGGGGGCTGGCCAGGCAAAGTGCTCTGAGGCTGCCTGGGGTGTGAAGCCCTCCCTGTCCCCTGCAGCTCAGAGCAGGTTGCAGCTGCCCTCCGTGGGGTCCCGGCCCCGGCCCACAGCTGGATGGAGCCGCGCCGAGGGAGTTGGGGAGCTGCCTCTGGCACAGCTCCTTTGCAGTGGAGAGCAGGCGCACGGCATTGATCGGCGTGAGGCCTCGTTAATTAGCGCTAATCGGTTTGTCTTTATCCACTCCATAAAGAAACTTGCTCTCCGTGCCGCCACTGAGTGGCAGC